GTCTGCGATTCCATCACCGATCCTAAAGACGCGAGACTGCGAGAATTTGGTGAGTCATATTGTTAGGGCTTTTTTTTTTCTTTGTTTCGATTTCTCAGATCTGATTTCTCTAAATTGTGTACTGGATCTGTGCCTGTTCCATTTTTTTTCAATTCACGGGGCAAATGTGAGTTGATTCTGTGCCTTTTATGTTTGAATTTGGACGCAGGTCATCTTTTCAAGAAGACGGTGGCGGATTCTAATGCGCCGGTGCAGGAGAGGGCGCTGGACGCGTTGATTGCGTTCTTAAGAGCAGCTGATGCTGATGCCGGAAGGTGAAGCTATTTGTAAAATTTTTATGACTTTCTGCATTTTTTTGTCTGCAATTTTTTTGTATTGATTCAGATTTTGATTTATTTATTTATTTATTTTTTTTGCCTGTAGGTATGCGAAGGAAGTCTGTGACGCCATTGTAGCAAAATGTCTTACTGGTCGGCCTAAGACAGTGGAGAAGGCACAGGCAGCATTTATGCTCTGGGTAGAGTTGGAGGCTGTGGAAGTTTTCCTGGTTTGTATCTGAAGTCTAAAGAATTATGATACTTTTAATTCCATTTCCTCTTGTAGCATGTTTTATCAGGTTACTTAGAATTTAGTTTATTAGAACTTAACAGTTCGAAAGGAATATTAGGGTTACTATATGCTGATAGAAGCTAATTTCATGTGAATTAATAATAATGTAAGCTGCATTGCCTATTATTTGCAAAAGAGCTCTAAACTCGGTTTTTTTGTTTGTTTTTTTCTTTTTCCCTCTATTTCTTGATGTTTTTAGAGTTTCTTTCACCTGCAATAGACCAAAAACCTTAATTCTTAACCCAAAGTCCTTTCAATTGTAAGCAGCCAGGTCTAGCAAGAAAAAGGGCAACAGACTTTTAGCAACTAGTGCATCAATATTTCTTTATGAAGTTCTGTTGTTTCCCAAATTTGGTTATCCTAATTGTTAATGCTTTATTTTTGGTGTTTTAGAGATGCTATCATATAAAAAGTGCCACTAAATATTGAATAGTATGCTTTATGAAGTGCAAGTAGAGTCAAATCAACTAGTTTTGACTAACTAGCTTCAATTAGACAGTGCCATTTCAAGGTATCTATTGTTGCTTTGGAGAGAGGTTCTTGGACTGCTGTAGGTTCAAAGCTCCATTTTAGGTTCTGAGCTTTATTAATTTGAATTGGAGTTGTTTTCAGGCAATTACTGTTACATGGTTAAGAGTTGAGAGAAAAAGTAGGCATGTAGGATCTAGGCTTTGTAGTGAGGTACCATATGAGGTTTATCCAGTGTTGCAAAAGGTGATGCCTAGGTTTGCCTGGAATGTAGATGACAGGTGGAAGATGCCATGTGCTAAAGTAGTAATAAAGGCTTTAGCTGTTGAAGATTCTTGCAGGATCAAAGTCCTATTCGAGTGACTAAGCATCTTACATATTCCACTTGCTTGTATCACTCTCTAGTTTAACATGTGCAGTGTTAGTATAGTGTATGAGATGCCTATTTTCTTCCATGGTAGATTTGATTGTGTGGACTGATTTAGTGAACAGCATCCTTATAAAATAGCTTATTGTTTTCATAGACTCTGTCTGGTTTCATTTTTTTCATCTACTCATTATGTTTTTTTATCATGGATTTTTTTTTTTTCTGTTTCATGCTTTTATTTTCTGAGAAGTGGCATAAGAGAGATTTAAGCTATTTGTGCTAAAGAATGGTAGAAGTTGTAGGTAAAGCATTGAAAACCTATCTGCTCAACTGCATGGATCTAATGCCTGCAACTTTGTGACATGTTCCTTTTAGGAGTGAAATAAAGAAGTTGGTCTTTTCTCCTGTACCTTTTTGTGTAAAAAGTTACGTTCTAAAAATTTAAAACTTTCATGTGTTTGTAGGATGCAATGGAGAAAGCTATAAAGAACTAAGTTGCCAAAGCTGTTGTGCCTGCAATTGATGTCATGTTTCAAGCTTTAAGGTTAGTGCATGAATCCCCTTGGTTCAAGTTTTCTATTAGTTCTTTTACATAACGTGGTAATCTAATTGAATGATCTGATTCTTTATTTATAAATAGTGAATTTGGAGCAAAAATTGTACCCCCTAAAAGGATCCTTAAGATGCTTCCTGAACTTTTCGATCATCAAGATCAAAATGTTCGTGCATCCTCCAAAGGACTCACACTTGAGCTTTGTCGTTGGATTGGAAAAGATCCTGTTAAGTCAATTTTGTTCGAGAAAATGAGGGATACAATGGTATGATAAATCTTGACTTATTGATTTTGTTTTTAATATTTATTTCCTGTTGGGAAATGAGATATTTGCTTTTTGTTGTTTGAAGAAAAAAGAGCTAGAGGCCGAGCTTGTCAATGTAACTGGGACAGCCAAGCCAACACGGAAAATAAGGTGAATGCATATTATGAAGGAGCTCTTCTCTGTTTTTGTCTGTTATATGCATGTATGTTGAAACTATATTGGAGCATTTTAGTTAGTGAATTCCCTTGGTAATAGAGTTGGCTTTTCATTAACATCTGTTTTTATACAAGAATTGAGAGGAATGTTGATGTCCCTCTAGTGTATCGGTTTAAGCTTTAAAATTAGGAAGGATTAATGTTATTCATAATTCAAGATATGCTATCCAGGATTCTGTATCAAAACTGTATTGTTATCTTCAAAATACACATGAAAATAATTAAGAGGCCTGGGAAACTTTTTTAGAGGCTACAGTTGTTACTTTATATGGTAACCATAAGTTGTAGAGCGTGTTGGTGTTGGAGTGTAGTAATTGAAACCTTTAAGTTTCCTATTGGTGACTTTATTATTAATGCTTGGAGGAGTGAGGGACATTGAGGTTTGGATTTTTGGTTGATTATCTCTGGGATGCTGTTGTAAAGGCTGTGTCATTGCACTATAAAAAGTAATTTGGTCTCTCATGCTGGATTATGATTGGTAGTTGGTTGGTCTGTGCTTCATCATAGTTTGAAAGATGTTTCTAAAGCAATGGATTCTGTCTTGAAATATTAAACTCTAATTGTTGGATTCCAACAATTTTTGGACCTCATGTAAGATCTTAATAAATGGGAAAACTCATTCTAAGACATGGATCGCTAATGAATGAATATGTGGTGAATTTTGAAATTACTAAGGTGCCAAGTCACGGTTGAGTTTGTAATCTTCATGGAGAGATTCAGCGGCATATGGGCTGTGTGGTCACTGGCTACTGCCTTGCAGAAAATAAAATTCTTGCATCTTAACTTCGACTGATCTTCAAATGCCAAGGAGAACAATTAGTATATACGGACCTTAGTGGCTGGAGATGGGATTTGTTTTAGTTTTGTAGTATGCTAATGGAATCCTCTGTTCGTAGATGCAGCTCATATGGTAAATGAGTATATTCTTTGAAGAATTGGCATCTACATGTTTTTCCTACCCTTTTCTTAATGTTTTTTCAAGTTTGAACCCATGGGGTTCATCATAAGCCAATTGAGAATGTTAGGGATTTTAGTTGTTCCTTCTCATGTTCAAGTAGTTACATTCTTCTTTCAGGTCTGAGCAAGACAAGGAGCCAGAACAGGAGGCTGTTACTGAAGCTGCAGGTCCTGGGCCATTAGAAGAATCTGCTGCTGATGGTACACAACTGGAATAATAACTTAGATTTGATAATTATCTTACATCTTTATAATGCTGATCTTCTTGTTCTTGGCATGCATTTCTTTATTGTCAGTTCCTCCGGAAATAGATGAGTATGAGCTTATTGATCCTGTTGATATTTTAACTCCTTTGGAGAAGTCTGGATTTTGGGATGGAGTGGTCAGTACCTTTTAACTTGCATCTTTCTCATTTGACATGCCATGGATCCTTTTTTTTTTTTCTTGTTTGTTTGTTTATGTGATTTGCTTTTATCTGACATTGTTATCTCTGAATTGCTATTTTGCTGGTATCATTGATCATTTCTTTTTCTTTTTTTCTTTTTTGTTTTTTGTTTATTACTTTTGCTTGGTATGTCTTTTGTCTCACATTGATGAGTTGTTTCTTAATTATTAAAGTTTTATAGGGTTGTTTAAGAATTTTTCTGGCAATTTTTTCTGTTTTTCAGAAAGCTACCAAGTGGTCAGAAAGAAAGGAAGCTGTTGCTGAGTTA